CAAACTCATCAGCCATCCAGAACTGGATCCCAGAAGAGAATCTTTTGTGCCAACATTTTGCATGTATCACCTTCTGTCTGACAAAATATAACCTTTAATGGACCTGTGAGGAAGTATTTATTTACCTTATTTTTCTCTATTCTTTGTTGTCAATTCATTAATAATTATTAAAACTAATCAGCGGTAATTTCTCACTTAGTCTGCACTTTAATCTCTTCTAGAATATATTTGTTCATATCAAAACCCTACATAAAAAACTTAAAGATTTCTTGGCTTGGTATTCAAGGTACTTAGCAATCTGGCTCCTACTTACTTTCATAATTTCATCTCTTAGTACTCCCCTATCTTTCTATAAACCCAAACCAGAGTCAGCTTCTTTTTGTCCCTAAAACCTACCAGGCTTTTGTTATAACTCTGTGCCTTTATTTACTCTGTTTCTCCATCCTAGAATACTTTCACATTCATACCTGCTGGTAAATTCTTACTCTTCCTTTAAGATGATGCTCAAGCATCACTTCCTGTCTGGAGCCTCCCTGATACTCATTTCTGTACATTCCAACATTAATAGATTCTTTTCTCTGCTTTCATAGTATTTTTAAATTACCTTTGTCAGCACTTATACTGTTTTGTAATTTTCTATTTATGTATCTGTTTCCCTCATTAGACCAAATCCTTTAAAAACAAGGCACGTGTATTATTATTCTTTGTATACCCCATTACAATGTTGGGTACATCTAAAATATGTCTGAAGTGTTTGCTGAATTAATGCATAAATAAATGATTACTAGGCACATTATAGAATTAGCCAGAGTTCCTCCTAAGGGAGAACTTTATATATATATACAGAGACATAGCAAACACTTACTCATTCACTCACATAACCCTTGGAATTTATCCAGAAAGAGGGCCTCTCTAGGATTAGTTCAGGACCATTTGCTATAGGCTATGATGGTTAAACTGGCCTTCATTCCAAGCCGCCTGGAAAAACTCGACTTTCTGTCTTCTCTTTAAATTATTTAAGTCACAGATTCCTCAAGAGCTTTGCCTTGGCAATTTCTATTTTCTCTCCATAGAGTACCTATCTCTTTTTTATCTAACTGAAAGTTTACTTTACACAAACTGTGATATGGGAGATAAAGGATGAATTAGTCAATCCAAAACCCCTAGGGGAAGTTGGAGTGAGCAGGAATTCCTGGAGTACAAGGAACCAGTGCTTTCCTGTGGTGCTTGGTGTGGTGAAGACCTCCTGGCCTGCAGTAACTGTCATTTAGGAATGTGTTGCTGGTAATTAAGGACTTTAGGTCAGGTAGTAGGTAGTAGTCTCCAGATACATAGCCGGGGTACAAGCTTCTTCCAACTGCTTTCCATGCTATGTTCAAGATGTATAATGAACACTGAACTTACAAATGATCCCTCTGCTATTAAAAGTAAAAGAAGCTGACTCAGAATTGTGAAACATTCCCTAGCATTGACTATTTTAGAATGGAGTGCCTTTTTTTTCTTTTAAACTTGATGGTATTTTAAAAAATGAATGAAGCAATATATCACACTTGATTATGTAGACTGTAAAGTGACCTAATAATAGGAAGTGGATTTTAGACTTCAGATATTCAGACTAATAATGTGCCTTTTGAAAATAATTCTATAGTGTTCTATAGAATTTTCCTATCTGTTTAAAAAGGCTTCTATAATACACAATCTCCATTTTTAAGTTTCTGAATTTATATGCACATATCCAAGTCATATATATTTCTACTGCTGCAACAATAATTCCCTAACCATTTTGTTGCATGAGCAAAGTTTAGGAGAGTTAAGGGGCACTTTCAAAATATTTTTTTGACTATGTGATTTCTTAATATTTCCTTAAAATTCTGACTGTGATCAGATATCAGGTCAGGTCCAGTTTAAAAATGGTTTCAAACCGTGGTTTCCCTGGATAAGTCTTTTCTCCCCAAATGTTAGTTCATCAGTATGACATTCCTTGTTTAACTTAGGATGTCCCCATCCATTTTCCAGTTGATTCCCCTTGGAAAAGAGAAGAGGAGGCAAGAAAAAAGATATGTTAATATGCCCGGGAGCATTTTATATTTTCCCTTTCTTAATTCAATATTTTTGTACTATATGCTGTGCTTGAATTTCTCAGTTCCTGGGAGCATTCCTGTGAGTCCTAGAGATCTGCTGTGTAATTAAATTCAGTGTCAGGAAGCATCATGTAGATAATATGTACTATGGGAGGAGGTGACAAGGTCAGTGTAAGGTCAGTTCATGCAGTGAGACATGAGCTCTGAGCTGTGTTCCTTGGGAAATGGTAGAATGTGGTAAGGTAGAAGAGAGTAGGAAGGACATGCTAAGACTGTGGTACGGAATGAGAGATGGAGAGAGAGAGAGAGAGAGATTGGGCATACGTATGACATTTCTGGGAGAATCAATTAGTATGAGAGCAGAAGCTCTACTAAGACTAGAATCTAAAAATCCACAATGACCTCTATTAGTAAGAGATTAAAACTTGCCATTCACAATGAAATACATCTTTTAAATGAATAAATAAATGAAAGCTATTTGGTTTTGCTAGAGGTGGAGAGAAAGCTGTGACAGTAGAAGCAGATCTCAAATGTTAATCACCTGTGGCATTGTAGTTAACTTAGAATAATATTGAAATGTTTTGGCATCTGACATTCTCCACAAGCCTGTCTCCTTTTATATGTATGCATGCAAGTACATAAATTGCTGAATCCATGTCAGTTGTAAAGTAATGGCACTGAGGGCATCATAAATTACCATGGTGATCCTTAGGAGAAGACACTGTCGTATCTGAGTGAGTGTTTCACTTCCAGAGTAATGTATGCCTTCATCTGGCCCAGCTGTCAGCATATTGCCCTGTGTTGATGGATATTGTCAGCTGGAAGCTACACTACATTTCACTGCACAATAAACATGGCTGTCAAACCCATATAAAGTGAAATCAATTTATCCTGTATGGTCAGTGCATTTTAAATGAAATTAATGTACTGTGGATATGGTGGCAAAAAGGTAGCATATTAGTTATGCATCTTGGGATCTGAGACTTTTCATGTAAGGGATCATCCTGTCTAGTAGGCCTAAAATAAGGGCTTTTTACAGAACAGGTTATTTTTGCGTGGTCTTCAGAAATTGGCCCCTCTTTCTTCCCTCATGTTTAGAAAAGAATTGACAGTATTAACCAATTAAGCCCTTTATATCTTATCTTTCATTTGCTATAAATTATGGCCATATTTGCCACATAATATACTTTAATGTTCTATTTAATTTATTACTAGCTCTGACACAAACAAATTTCTATTTAATCAAGGTATCTAGAAATAGAGTAGAAGGGCCAGAGATTAATTAGGTCATTTTGTTCCTATATAACCAACCACCCCACTGAACTGACAGGATTTATTTTTTACCAAAAAGTGGAACTGTTGGTTTTAATGTATATTTTGCTTCCAAACTATTGGAGTATGCTTTCCTGTTTATGCAGTAGAAGTCCTGACTGAGGCCATCAGTCCAAGCACTTTACCTTTAAATATGGAAGTTCTCAATCTATAGGTAGATATTTAGTAGTCACATTGCAAACTCTATACACAGATGTGTCGTGCTAGTAAGGTATATGAAAACAAGCAAGAGCTTGTTTATCCCTTCATTCATTCCTTTATTCAAACATTCATTTATTTAACATATTTTACTAATTGAAACTCTGTATGCCAACTGCTTTACTGGAATGTAGGGACACAGCAGTAAATGAGAGGCAGTTCCTGCCATATTCTCAAGGAGTTTCAACCTAGTATGTTACTAGAGTCACCTCTTTGGAAACTATAAAATACCAGGGATTTAGATAGAGTTTCATAGGTAGATGTTAAAAAACTACCCTTACACCGCAGAAAAACATATCAGGACTCTTGAAATGAATGCCTTTTAGTCTACTACTTTTGCATATGAATGGAAAACCGATCTTTTGTTTAATAAGTATTTATTGAGTATCTATTATTGGGGAAATCCTGAGGACAGAAGAATACAGCATAACTTTAGAGGTCTCATATTTTTGGGGATGGAGTAGAAAGATTTGGGAGAGAGAGTCACCTAAACAATTACTCTGGAGCACAGAGCATAAACAAAAGGAGAATGAATGCAGCCTAGGGAGCATCATTGCAAATGCTGTTCCTTTGGCCTGAATTACTCTTCCTGTCAGTCTTTACCACCTTCCCTTATTCATGTGCTAATTCCTTTTCATCCTCCCAGATTCAGCTTAGATGACATCTCTCCTAAGAGGCCTTAGCTGACTGTGCTGTCTGGTGGCCTCTTGGCACCCTGTTTACTTCAGTATGATGGCACTCACAGTGTACTCTGTTATAATTGTCTGTTTGGCATCTGTCTCCCCTCTGAACTGCGAACTCCCTAAAAAAAGGAGCTTAACTCGTGGTTATTGCTCAATTAATATTTTTAATTGAATGAATGAATGAATTCAGGAAACATACCACATTGGAATAGGCCTTGAAGGATGAGAGGAATTTAGCATGAAGTTGGGGACTGGGTTTCCAGGAAGTGGGAAGAGCAGTGGCCAAGCACAGTACTGTGGAAGGGAATACTGTTTGCAGGAAAGAGGTAGTTTGGAGGGGCTGCAGGTTTTGGCAAGTGAGGCTAAAATGATAGGTAAGAGCCCGCTTTTTAAGAGAGGAATCACAGCAGGAAAGGTTACTGAAAACAATGCCAGTCATTGCTTCATCATCTCCTGAAACTGATTGTAGTAAAAATGTACTAGGTGTATAAAAGCATACAAAATTAATTCTGTCCAGTGTATCTTTGAGACCTACATCAGGAGGGCCTGCAAAACTGTCATTTGAAATTATCTTCTGTTTCTAAGATGTCACTTAAAGAGAAGAGAAGGGCCTAAGGAAAACAGCTGAACCAGGCGGAAGCTGTGTTACATTATCCAGATAATAATGCTTTGCACCCATGTTGTTCTTCCTGCCCTGACATTACAGGAAGTAAAGCAATGAATGGCTCTGCAGCTAAACTACAGCAGTATTATTGTTGGCCAACAGGAGGTGCCACTGTGGCTGAAGCACGAGTCTACAGGGATGCCCGCAGCCGGGCCAGCAGCGAGCCCCACATCAAGCGACCAATGAATGCATTCATGGTTTGGGCGAAGGATGAGAGGAGGAAAATCCTTCAGGCCTTCCCCGACATGCATAACTCCAACATTAGCAAAATCTTAGGTGAGTGCAGCAGCGGGTGGGTATAGTTTGACACATATGGGAGACTGGTTTGTGCAAGTTAGATGCAACTCGGCAAGCTGCCACAGGAGACTCTCTCATCATCTCTGTCACTCCCCTCCCGCCACACCCACTTAGGTGGGATTCAGGGTTATGAGTTATTACATCCACTGGGTGCCAGAGGAGTACAAAAATCTTACTTTAGAGACAAAACTGCTTATGTATATTAATACTACAAATAATGTTAATATGTGAGTTTGGCAACTCTATGGGTCCCTGTTACACAGGAATCATGGAGACAAGCTTTATCTCCTTTTCACATTCAGTCTCCTTAAATTCACAAGTTTCTTTGAAACCTTGGATATATTCACAGACCTTACAGTTTTCTCCTTCACTATTCTTGGGTTCATATGTTCCTCTGAAAGAACTTATCAAGGACCAGGGGTGAGCCCGGAAAATAGTGTGACATTCATGGAGAGTAGAACAGTGCCTCTAATGATAACTCTAAAACTTATAAAATAAAACTACATTTGCTTTAATGTTATATGACTAGATCAAATTTCATAGCAGTGAGCTGAACACATCGACCACAGGGCAGAGGCCCATCGTGTGCTGAATTGCCAGAATGAGTCTCCCATTTCTCAGGATTAAACTCAAGCCTTGTTCTATTAGTGTAGAGCTTGCCTAGTGAAGATTATACAGTTTGGAATTATTATGCTCAACATATTGAACGTATTTTATTCAACATGCAGCATTACAGTCAACATGTTTCCTCTTTAAAAAGAAAGAAACACAGAAGGCACTGTTCTATTTAAGCTGTCATGATGTGACAAAAATCTCAAAGGGAGCCATTTAAGAAGCCGAGAAACATTAGGGACTTAAACTGTGGTTTTCATTTTTTAAATGTTTTGTTCAAAAGCAATAAATATTTTAACCTTAGTAAATATCGGTGATCTGGACATACACAAATACACATGTTTTGTCATTGTATAAATAATTTAACTTGATTCTGAGACATTTTGAGGCAGTGGCCTCTAAGAAAATTTAAAACATACACAAGATCAAATAGTGGTGACATGTTAAAATACAAGTTTTTCCTATTTTTCCTTTTGACTCTTAAATTTCAACATGGATATTCAGTGTCATTACAATTAAGTGGTGTTTTATTTCTGGAGTTTCAGAGATCTGCATTAGGTATATTATTCTTTTAAATGTAAACACCTATCAAACCAAAATGCTTCTTAAGGATATATTACATTTTTTTTCCTAATTAATAGACATTCAAAAGAAAACCAATGCTTCTCTGTCCTTAAAGTTTGATATTTAACTTTAAAATTTTCATTTATTTTATTTTTGTTTGCCATTTTAGTAGCACTAATAGTAGGCTCTCAGATGGGCACAGAACCTCTCTGTATCCATCTTGGCAGCTATGGGGAATCTATATTATTGGTGTGCATTCTGTGAAAAAAGTTATTGAGGATATAGTAAGTGTATTCATTAAAATGTTACCTTTTAAGCACAAGCATTTCAAGAGCACCAAGAATCCTCTGTTAATGGGGCTTTAGGCTGCTGAGAGCCAGTAGAACAGAGAAACCAATCTGCATAGACTTCCTGCACAACTTTTGCACAACAATCAGGAAAGATCGGGGATGGATGTGTCATAAAAGCAGACCAGGATATTGCTGGCTACAGAGAATATTTGTACAACTTTTCCATTTGTTTATGTATGAAAAATCTCCACTGAAGAATAGCTAACATCCAGTCAGCACAGCTGTTACCACTTTATTCACCAGCGAGACACAAAAATGCAATTTGATACATGTAAAAAAACACATCCCTTCTTCGTCAAGTGTTTAGATAATTCTTTATAAACAATATTAGAGAAGTGAATACTTTTCTTTCTTCCTGTATAAACCATATTAAAAATTTTTGTACTCTCATTGGCATATCCTTGAATGAACGTTTATAGTACTTGAAAATGGTATGTATAATTCCAACTGTGCCTTCCGGTTCTAAGTCTACAACTTCTTAAGTGGAGTTTAGGCTTTAATTACTCTCTGCCAGGGAAGTCAGTGTGCACAGTAGGTTTTTATATATGGAAGGATATCAACATCTGCTGACATCTCTTCAAGGATGGCCTCTCTAAAGCTGCTTGGAGTGTGAGAGGTGTTTGAATTTCTGGAATCAAGAGAATCCTGTCATATTTGGAGGTAGTTTTAGGAAGTTGAGGTTTTCAACCATCTTGAGAGAGAGAGGCAGATGGATGGGGGGAAGACTTTGGTGTCAAAGGTGATCTTTAAGCTGCAAAGACATGTTTTAAAACAATGTACTTTCTGTAGCACCAGCTTTAAATCACTGAGATTAATAACATAATAAATGTATCACAAGTAAAATTATTCTTTGCTCTGCAGTCTGAAAGACTGGTTGTAAGGCTCCATGGTATGTGGTAATCGGAGCTACTCAGAGCTCAGTTGAGTGATGCAGGGAGAAGGTATATCTAGTTGTATTTGCCAGGAATATGTTACCTTGACCACTTGGATACTAAAATCTATTTTAATGTCTAGGGTCTCGCTGGAAATCCATGTCCAACCAAGAGAAGCAACCTTATTATGAAGAGCAGGCCCGGCTAAGCAAGATCCACTTAGAGAAGTACCCAAACTATAAATACAAGCCTCGACCGAAACGCACCTGCATTGTTGACGGCAAAAAGCTCCGGATCGGGGAGTATAAGCAGCTGATGCGGTCTCGGAGGCAGGAGATGAGGCAGTTCTTTACTGTGGGGTAAGTGTACCTGAATTTAGCCTCCCAGGCTTGCCTTTCCTAGTAAGAGGCTGCAGGATGGCCACTATCAGTTTGCTTGGGACAGAATTAGGAAAGGGAGTTGGTTGTGACATACTGAGGGGCTTGGTGCTGGTCATCTTTGCAGTGTCACAAGCACACAGCCTGGCAGCACATCTCCTACTCAGCTCAGAACAAACCTGCCACAGATAACTCCCAACTGATCACTTCTTTCACTGTCTCCCAAACTGATCTAAGGCATTCAGTGCCCACACACAAAGCTTCTGGTAGTTTATTTAAACAGACACACAGGGAGAAAAAAATAAAAACTAATCTTATGAAATCCCCAGAAGCTATCCAGCTTCTTTGGTTGGTGCTTCTGAGTCTAATCACAATAGTCTGCTTTTGTTGTGGGATCTACCACAAGATAATTGGCCTTGACATTGGTTAGAGAACCTCATTTTTGGCATAATATCCAGAACTCCTGTTGCAGTAAATTATTCTGTGGTAGAAGCAGTAACAATGTGGATTTTCTTACTTAAATCAGAAACTAGACATGTTTTTGATATCCTCAAGTCTGATTTCATGTCATTTTGTTTAAAAATTAGGTAATAGATTTCTGGTATAAATTTCAAGTTGGCTGACTGGCTGTCTGCATTCAAAAGAGGCCCCTTGTAACCACAGTAGTCAGGACAAGTGGGGATGCAGATGCTTGGAGGGTCCGGCACACCCGGACCTAGAAACACAGGGGGCTAGCAAACCAGAGTATCATTCTGGACGCATCAGCCAGAGGCAGCTGGAATCAGATTGGGAAAACACTCAGGAAAGGGCTTGAGAGAGACAAGTGGAGTGAGTGAGAACTGTATTCACTGTTAATTGGAAGGAGAATTGAGGAGCTGTGCTTTGCCAGCGAAATAAGAAAACTTCACTCAGGGGTGAAGAAAAGAGACACCTTTTCATTATCAATAAATAGCCTCATGGACAAAAAGCTGGTTTTAGAAGCATGTCTTTATAAGTATAAAATTAATTTGGAATAGTAAATAGAATGAAAAAAAAAAAGAAGGCCAGTGAAAGCTTTGTGGGTCTGTAACTCTGAGGGGAAAATATGTTCCCAGCCCGGGATAAATAACCTTTGAGGACAAAATCAGCCAAAGGGAGAAATAAAGTGGGAGAAACCTGTTTATTGCTCACAAGCAGTTGTTCACTTCTACTGCCTGTGTCTCTCTGACCTGGCTGCAAAAGGGGACATGCCGCACTCCCCCTACCCTTGTAATCACTTATTGATACAGAGATAAACTACTTCTCTCCACCCCTTGGAAACACCTATTGATATGGAGATGCACTAAGGCCAGGTGAGAGATTCTAGAAATACTGCACTTTTACCCACAGGGTTATGAATCTATACAACACCAGAGTGTTCTGGAGAAGGAATGAGGGCTTTGGAGTTTGACTGCTGAGGTTCAAACATTGTCTGTACCACCTACTGGGGAAAATTGTTTAACTTCTCTAAGATTCTGTCTTATCATGTATGAAATCAATCAGGTAATAGTACCCATTTCACATGATTGTTTAGAGAATTCAATGAAGCAATACTTTTTAAAGTACTTAAAAAAAAGTCATGCTTTTAACACCAAAAGTACAATGCATTTTCATTGGGCTGATCACATGCTAGAGGATTTATGAAAAAAATACCACCATAGTGCACTTTAGGAAGTAAAGTCATATGTAACAAATACACATCTAAGACTGTGTGATAAGCATCTTCTTTCAGTCCTATTAGTATATAATCTCTTTTGAGCAGAGAATCCCAAATTTAAATTTGAGATCCTTTGTGATTCCTACCCTTCTTCCCACCATGTCCCCTGTGTATCTAGTGATGCATAATAGTTTGCCATAGTCAGGAAGGCTATTGAAGGTGCCATTTTAGTTCCCTGATACTTACTTGAAAATATGAGATACAGAAATTCTACTTAATTAAGTTCCCTTTATCAGAGAGTACATTGAAACAACTCTGCATGTAAATACGATACCTTAATACAATATGTAACAATGCATGTAAACAAAATGAAAAAAACTAAAACAACTCAATAGTGTCTATCATTTTTTGAGTGTTTACTGTACACTAGGTGTTTTAGAACAAACAAATCAGAATATACAAATATATAAATTCTGTATACAAATCACAGAATTTTCTAAATAAGATAAAGAAATTGAATCTTCAAGAGGTCCAATGGCTGCCAAAAATTAAGAAAGAGCAAAGGTTTAAATCCAGGTCTCCGCCTCTGGATTTGCCAAACAACTGAGGAATTGTCCTTACAAGCCTTGCTTTAAAATATGCCTCCTAGCTCTATTCTGCCTCAGTCAAGAGTATGGTGTGCTAGTTGAGGAAGAGCTCCTAGAACCTGAAGGATATAAGGCCCTTGGTTGTGGTGGACGGTGGCATAAAAGGAGCTTTGAAATTGAGAGACTAAGGATCTTGTTCCTGGTACTGTGAGGGGTCCTTTATGAAAGGATCATTTTAGGCTGTGAAATGGAGCTTACAGGTGTGCAGGCAATGACCAGAATCTCTCATTCATTAATCTTCAGTGCTAAGTATTTTATTCTGCTCAGCTTTGGTAATACTTGCTATAAAGCCAGGTATTATTTCTGCTGGATTCATACTCCTTCTTAAGTAACTGTATTAGATAGACTATTAACTCCCTGGGGTTCATCTTTGAAAATTCATCTTCATTAGATGTGGGGTTATTACAAGAGGGAAAGGCAAACAAGAAATTCAAAGATTGCTATTGACTTCTTGAGGGAATGGGGGTGAGATCAATTTTTATAGCTGATTTGGGAAAGACATGCATAACTTTCAAGCCAATAAAATTGTATATATTGCTCAACATTGTTATGCATTTACACTGCTGTTACAACTAGAGGTTCAGTGAGTTAGTTTTTTGCTTTTTTTTTACTTAGCTAAGATGAAATGAATTTATCAATAATATGAAATGGAGTAAAGTTGGCTGTTACCTTGGATTTAACCCTTTCAATTGACAGGTTAAGTATTAGAATTTTGTAGTAATTCTGGTACTAATTAATGTTGAAGTGATATTCATTGGGATACATATAGCTACAACACTGGCTTTTCCCAAAGAACTATGGCCAAATGTACTTCCATTTATTTGAAGCTTATTCAATAATCTACCTGTGAACTAATGAAGAATTATTCAGATACTATAAAATATTAAATTTAGGGCTACTTTTGAGTAATAACATTGAGAAGTTATTGAATTGTTACTATATGCTATATACTGTGCTTAGTGAACTATACAGATTATTGAAAATATAACAAATTTACAAGCTAGGTATTGTCATCCTCACTATGGATTTGAAAAACATAATGTTCAGAGATGTTAAATAATTTGTCCAAAGCCACACAGCTAGTAAATTGCAGAGCTAAGATTTAAACCAGGCTTATGTGAATGTGGAACATATGTCCTTCTCACCATCACACATACCTCTCAATTGGAGCCTACAAATTGTTTAGAGGCTGTGTTGTGTAGTGTGAAGAACATCAGTTCTTGAGCCAGACTGTTTGGGCTCAATGCTAGATTTACTTCTTCCTGACTCTAGGAACTAATGTACAGCAATCCTTATTCCTCTGAACTATCTGCTGGTCCTTGGGAAACCTATTAAAATTCTCTGTACCTCAGTTGCCTCAGATATAGAATGGCGATGACAATAATACAACATTGGACCCTTCTGAAGATTGAATAACTTAGTAAGTGCCTAGAACAGTGTCTGGCCCATAGTAAGCCCCAAATATGAGTAAATAGTATTATTCTAGGAAAATAATTCCACATGCCAAATATTTCATATTACAAGGAGTTACATTCTACTACTTTACTCTATACATGATTTGTACATTTGCCATTTTGATGTTAATCCTAAAGAGGTTGAATCAAACCATATTTACTTATAAATATAACTGATTAGCATAGAATAGCCATACTATTCATCTTCCTCTAGTGAAAGCTGGATTGGATTAGAATCTCTAATAGGTAATGTAGAAGGATTGCTATTATTTCCATTCTTCAGTGCAATCTTTACAAAGATGCGGAACGCACAGTTAATCTCCAAATGAAACAGACTGTGTTGCCTTCGTTTATAGATGCTGTAAAGGTCTGAAGGATCAGCAAACAAGAAGGCTTTGCCAAAATATATATGTTGTTCCTTTGCAATTGGAGAGCTGAATTATACTCCAGAAATATTCTTGTGATTTGGAAACCACACCACAATGGTGGGCTATAGCAGGGTCAGCTTCTACTCTTCCCTTGGGCTGGGAAGGAGGGGGACTTAGCCATCTCTGCTCATATCAGCTGCGTGAGCATACTTTTACAAATATCTACAACTTTTGTTTTGATGTGCACATTCATTATTTGTAAAACCCAATACTTGCCAGCTATTACTGTTTGTGAAATCTGCAGTGTTTGAATTTTGACTTTGCAATTGATCTGTAAAGGAAGGAAAAATGCTCTTTAGGAAAGTAATTTCCGATAGACAAAGCTTGAGCTGGCTGGCTGGATTTTCCATTTTGTTAATTGATTAGTCAGTCCATTGGTAAAGGCCTATTTGAAACCAGCTATGTGCCCAGCACTGTACTAAGTTAATATAGCACATGATACATTCATTCTGTACACAATAGTCAGAGAAGCCAGACACATACATGAATAGATTAGCAAGTTATTGTTTTCTAACCCCCTCACCAAAAGAATGCATTGCATAGTGCTGTACATAAGGTATAATGAAGTACTAATTTTGATTCTATAGACAAAAGCAAGTAAAGTTCAGAGGAGGAAAGTACGATTCATTAGGGCCAACTATAAGCCATTCTTGAGGAAGGAGACTTGAGGTTTGGGTAGGGTCAGGCTGGTGGAAAGTAGGTGTAAAGACTCATATTCCATTGTGAAGGATAGCATGAATACAGGGGCAGGGATATGGAAATGTTCAACACTAAAGAA